AATTCAAATCCATATAATAATATGATTATTATATGAAAGGAGAATATTAAATATAACATATATGTTTACAAATGATTTTAAAAGAGTTTAAAATTATTTGTTTATTATTATTATTGATTTTTAATGTTGATTAAAAATTAAATAATAATGATAATAATATAATAATGACAAGATGGAGTCTTGCAATTATTATATTGTTGTATTAACTTGTAGAAATGAGAAAAAGATTTTTTTTTTAATTTTGCTTGTCAAAATTATTAAAGACTTTTGTAACATTTCTTGTAAGTTATACAAGTCATATATATTTTATTGCTAAAAAGTTTAGTATAAATATGGGCATGGTTGATGTTCATTTTTGCAAGAATTTGTGTTAACATTTTCACTTATAATTTGAGAGATAAAGAGTTAGTATTTCATTTTTGTAAACAAGAATTGTTCTTGTAATATTCTCCTATTTATATATTTCTATACTAAGTTATAAATTGAGTGAGTTCCTACTAGCGAAGGAGTCATCTCGTAGTCGGAAGCAAACGGTGGATACGTTTAGAGGGAAGACAAGTGGATTCCTAAAAGCGAGCAAACCGAAGTGTTCGTTATTAATACGGGAACCAATTTCCTCAACCACCATCAAGAAGAAGGAGTTAGAGTTATAAGGTAATATTTGATATTACTTGTAATTTCTAATATTACTTGTAACAAATCAAAATTTGTATTATTACATGTTTTTAAAGATGACGATTTGTTAATTCGCCATATGTATATACGGGTTAAGTATTTAAGTGTTAAATACTTGTTTTGAAAAATTTTAAATTCCGCTGCGTATAGCCCGTACGGTACAGGCGAACCCAACAGTGGTATTAGAGCCACAGTTATAATCTTTAAAAATAGATTTTTATTTGTTTAAGTTTATATGATAATTAAATGTTTATATGATAAACATATTAATTATCAAAATAAATAAAAGATTCGATTTTTTAGCCACACAGGTCGTGTGACTAAGTCACACTGGTCGTGTGGACTCACACGAGCCGTGTCCATGAGCCAGACGGGTCGTGTGAGTATAAAGAAAAATTTGTTTTTGGTTCGTGATTTTCACACGAGTCGTGTGACATAGTCACACGAGTCGTGTGGCGACACACGACCCATGTCTTGAGCCACATGGGTCGTGTGACTTAAGGAAAATTTTGATTTTTTCTTACGAATTTTTCACACGGGTCGTGTGATAGGATCACATGGGTCGTGTGGACTCACACTGGTCGTGTGACTTAATAAATTTATTTTTTTTTTCTTATTATGTTTTAGTTCATGTGATGAATGGGATGATCATGAGCCTCATATTCAATATGATTGAATGTCTATTTTATTATGCAATGTGATTGAATGGTTGCCTTTTAATTCAATATGATTGAATGGTTTAATTTTTCAATAAGATTGAATGAATGTAATTTATCGAGACCTGCGAGTCTCTTGAGTTATGATTTGTAAAATTTTAAATTCTTGTATCGTTAGAGATTAGATCTAGGTGGAGACCGTTCGATGCAAAAGGCCCACGCTTGTGTGGGTAATTTTACAAGTTATAAAACTCGAAGGCCTGTGCTTGTACGGGTAGATAAAATAAATTGTAATAGAAGTAGTTCTATTTATTTATTTTATCACGTGCATAGGCATAGATCCATTTTGACTCGAATGGATCGCATAGGCAAGGTCATGATCATCCACCGAATGCATGCATTAGATGTATGTTAGGTTTATTTATATTTGTGATTCATGCGATGGATGAAACGATAAATAAACGTAAAGATGGTAATCGATGAGATCTAAGGAACCCTAAAGAATTAATGAGATTAATTCATATCAAATCAATAATGGATAGAAATAAGTTAGAACTTATTAATCCAGGCTTTCCATCAAAAGTAGACGACATGAGATGCTACGATGCTTTATCACTAACCATGAGTCGTGGTGTGGTTTTGTGTCGAAAGCTATGATCCCTACTAAGTATAAAGATACTCATGAAACGGATTCCTCTTTGTGTTGACCATGAGTCGTGGGACACTCTGGTGGGCCGTTATCATGAATGTTTGATGGGTTTGATTTGACACTGAGTAATATATACGGTCATAAAATTGAGGTATATAAGGAAAGGTGAGGCAAAATATCTTGAAGGTTGTATAGCAATACAATTGTCAAAAGTTGACTACCGATATAAGTGTTCCATACGTACTCATAAAATTGGGATATGGAATATTTTTATTGGACTTCAAGCCCACTATGAAAAATTAGATTTTCATAATTAAAATGGGTTTTAATTAAAATAGTGGGAGACATTTAATATTAAAGACCTAATGTTAAATGAATATAAATTCCATAGTCTAACTATTTTCTGCTTCGTTTGTTATTTTGTAGACCAATCTACGAAAATGGCTAAAAATCCAATCGCAAGTATACTAGAACAAAACAAATTAACTGGACCCAACTTTAACGATTGGCTAAGGAACCTATAAATTGTTCTTCAGTCTGAGAAGAGGGAATATGTACTGGACAGAGCCCCTCCTCCTCCACTAGAGGATCAGACATCTGATGAGTATGGAGAGTATTTACGTCATACAGATGACAATCTCTAGGCTCGGTGCTACATGTTAGCATCTATGTATAATGAGTTGCAGAGACAGAACGAATTGTTGAATAATGCTTCTGAAATACTCCTTCACTTACAAGAGTTGTATGGTGATAGGACGCGGCAGATTAGATATCAGATATCTAAGGAACTTTTCAGGTGTCGTATGACCGAGAGCTCTTCAGTTCATGATCATGGGCTGAAGATGATAGCTCTTGTGGAAAGACTTTCGTCCCTTGGAGTCATTATGGATAATGAACTCTATGTGGATCTCATGCTGCAATCTCTGCCACCGTCATTTGACAGTTTTGTAGTTAACTTTAACATGCATAATATGGAGACTTCTCTGCCAGAATTAGTGAACATGTTAAAGACGGCTGAATCCACAATTAAAAAGGATAAGCCGGTGCTTCTTGTTGGATCCACTTCCAAAGCGAAGACCTTAAAGTCTAAGAAGAGGAAGGGGAAGGGAAAGGTTCCCAATAAACCCAACAAGAAGGCAAATAACGATAAAGGGAAGAACAAAGAAAAGGTTAATCCTCAGTCTAATCATGAATGTTATCATTGTGGTAAAACTGGGCACTGGAAGAGGAATTGCAAGGGATATCTTGCAAGCCTGAAGAGTTCAGGTATTTATTTTGTTGAAGTTAACTTATCAGTTAATGATTCTTATTGGGTATTAGATACCGGCTGTGGCTCACATTTGCAATGATTTGCAGATGATGGCAAGAAGTAACATGCTAGAACCTGAAGAAACAATCCTAAGGATGGGCAATGGAGCAAGAGTTGCTGCCAAGGCAATTGGGAATGTTTATCTAGCATTTAATGATGGTGTAAATATTTGCCTTACAAACTGTTTGTATGTTCCGGACATTATAAGAAACATTATCTCTATTCCAGTTCTGGATAGAGAAGGTTTTAAGTTTGTAATTGAAAGCGGAAAGTGTTCTATTTTCAAAGATACGACTTTTATATATTCCAGAAATTTGACAAATGGATTATATACCATTACACCACAAAGTCCCATCCTAACCATTCAACAAAATAAAAGGAAATTAGATAATCATAGTTCATTCACAATTTGGCATGCTAGATTGGGTCATATATCTGAAAAGAGGATTCAAAAATTGGGATCAAAACTCGACCTTAGGGGCGAGGAAAGGTTGCCTACTTGTGAGTCATGTCTTAAAGGTAAAATGACAAAATCACCATTTGTTGGACAAGTGGAGCGAGCTAAAGGTCTGTTAGATTTAATCCATACAGATGTTTGTGGACCACTAAATGTTAGTGCCAAGGGGAACTACCACTATTTCATAACCTTTACTGATGATTATTCACGGTATGGATATGTTTACCTATTGAGGTACAAATCTGAAGTATTTGAAAAGTTCAAAGAATTCAGAAATGAAGTGGAGAAACAAATTGGTCGTAGTATTAAAGTTCTTCGATCGGATCGAGGAGGTGAATACTTGACTAATGAGTTTCTTGATTATTTAAGAGATAATGGGATTATTTCACAATGGACACCTCCTGGAACTCCACAACTCAATGGGGTTTCAGAAAGGAGGAATCGAACATTGTTAGACATGGTTCGATCAATGATGAGTTCCACTAGTTTACCTCTTTCATTCTGGGGCTATGCCTTAGAAACAGCAGCACATATTTTGAATAGAGTGCCAAGTATAGTTGTGCCTAACACACCTTATGAGATATGGTGTGGCAAAACATCCTCGTACAAGTATTTACGAGTATGGGGTTGTACTGCTTATGTGAAGCAGTTAGTGAGAGATAAGTTGGATATGAGATCCATCTTATGTAAATTTGTCGGGTATCCAAAAGAGTCTATTGGATACTATTTCTATGATCCCTCTGAACAAAAGGTG